CATGTGCCCAGACGCTGGCAGCGTCCGATCAGTGGATCGCGGCTCCAACGGTCGGGATGACCGGACGCGTCCAGTCAGGACGTGATCAGCGTTCGGTCAGTAGCAGAAAAGTGGGATTTCGTCTTCAACGGCTACTTTCTCAGTGTGGCTTATAAATAGACCCCCCCCCAACCGGCCATTTGACTTGTGTGGGGCTAAGGAAACATATCAAGGGTGTTGATACACCATTTTAGTGGTCTCCACTTGCATAATGCTTAGTGATTCATTAGTTGATTAGTGTAGGTGCTTTGCGAAGTGCTTAGGTTGATTAGACCACCACTTATGCGCTTGCTCTAGGTTTAGGCCTAATGTTTAGTGAGGCTTGCATACCTCTTACCACTCGGTGCTTGCGCGCACCATTATTATACATCGGAGGGGCTTGTAGTCTTGCGAGATCACAAAAAACCACGTTTGTGGTGTGGCCGCCACCGTGTACCGGAGGGAACAAGGCACGTGGCGTTTTGGCCGAAAGCTTGATGGTGAAGACGGCGGGGAGCATCCGGGAGAGGCTTGCCGGAAGGCACGTCAGAGACCCACTTGCGCGCGGGGAAGGCCCGAGGCTATCCACGGAGTTACCCGACCAGGAGCTTGGCCCTTGCGAGGGATTCCTTGTAAGGGGCTCCAGCGAGGATTAGGGGGAAGCTTGCGCGCTTCTCGATACCTCGGTAAAAATACCAGAGTCATCGACGGGAGTTTACATATCTCTACCTTGCTCTTTAGTTTCCGCATTTACATTGATTGTATTAGCTTCCGCATTTACATTGATTGTATTATTCATTTTGCGGTAGAGATAGCAACACACTAGCAAAACCGTAGTTGCACATTTAGATAGTTTATCTATTGCATAGGTTTTGTTAGGGTTAGAAAAAGAGGCTATAGTTTAGAGTTAGAATTTTAAGTTGCCTAATTCACCCCCCTCTTAGGCGTCACTGTCCCTTCAGTCTTGACTGGACACGTCCGGTCGTCCCGACCGTTAGAGCCACGATCAACTGATCGGATGCTACCAGCGTCCGGTCACATGCCACCGGACGCGTCTGGTCGCAATTTTGCCGCTCTAGAACCTCTCTGTACTAGATCAAACGCTACTATTCTACGTCCGGTCGATTTGCCGCCAACGTCCGGTCAATGCTGAATGTGTTGCCGAGATGATGAACAGTGTCATTGGTGCGTCCGGTCGATTTCAGTACTTAGCGTCCGGTCGCTGCTGCTGACGCCTGTTGTTGCCGAGCCTCTTGATCGGAGCGTCCGGTCGCTATACGCCAGCGTCCGGTCCAGCGTCTGGTTACCTCTGTGAGCTCGTATCTTCACGATCTTGCGTCCGGCTTGGTTCCTATCTTCATACTTGGACTTTGCTTGATATCTTGAGTCTTCTCTTGTGCTTCTAGGGTCTAGTTTAAGCTGTTGATCATCGGATCATCACGTCGCATTCGTCTAAATCACGTCTTGCACCCTATTGAACTATAAAACAATCACTTGCAAATTTATTAGTCCAATTTGGTTGTGTTGGTCATCAAACACCAAAATCCAAAGTAAATGGGTCTAGGGTCCATGTTCCTTACAGTTTCATAAGTGCTCAAGCCAACCCATGTGAGTTTTGAGTGTTTGAGAGACAAAATAGCTAACCTATTTTTTTGCTGGTCTAGGTATTTGCCCAGCAATGGTAAAGTTGTTGTTCTCGGGTTGGTTCATCGGGAGTTTCGACGTGAGTCGGGAATTCTGACGGTCGAGAGTTCCGGCAATGGTTGGGAGTTTCGACGTCTCGCGATTAACTGACTTGGACGGCCAGAGGCCAACGGCTAGTTTTCAAATGCCTTGACGATCGGAAGTTCCGACGTGAGTCGGGAGTTCCAACGATTGGGAGTTCCGGCATGCGTCGGGAGTTCCGACACCTCACACACTTTAACTCAGTTACCGTAGTTTTCAAATGTGCTGAGGGTCGGGAGTTCCGACATGAGTCGAGAGTTCCTGCATTCATCTGGAGTTCCGACGCCTCACAACGTTACTGTAACTCAGTTACCGTTGGCATAGTGTAAGTCATACCGGACGTGTCCGGTATGGCAATAGCTATAAAACGGCTAGTTTTTCTAAGGGGGCTATAAATACCCCCAAGCCTCCACCTTTGGAGGCTGCTGATTCTGCTGATACACATACACATTTTTTAGTCTTGCCAACTCTCTCAAACCCTCTCTTCGTGAGTGTGTGATCCAAATCGCAAAATCTATTTATGGGTTAAGAGAGAATTTGAAAAAGAGAGCAAGCCACCACTTGAGCACTTGTGCATATTATCTATTTCGTGATTTGTATTTGTTACTCTTGGACTCTTCAGTCCTAGACGGCTAGGCGTTGCCGGAGAGCACCCGAGAGATTGTGGTGTGCCTCGAAAAGTTTGTAACGGTCGATTCCGCCGCCTCGGAATCAACTAGTGGAAGGAGGAAAAGGAGTTGGAAAAGACTCTAGCTAGAGTGACCTTCGTGGTACCCTGTAGGGCTGACCTTCGCTAGGTCGCTTGCAGCTCCCTCAACGGAGAGTAGGACTCGAACGAGTCCGAACTTCGGTAAAACAAATATCGTGTCTCAATTCGCATTTCATTCGATATTTGTGTTGCTCTAGCTCTTGTGCAGGTTCTCTGTGTATATTGTCATCTCCAGTAGATACATGTAGTTTGGTTTGAAGATAGAAATCGAAAGGAGCAAGTTTGGGGCTGCTCTGCAGAAACCGTGCATACCGGACACGTCCGGTATTTGCTGCCTGTGCAGAATATATTTGTTCTCTGTTCTAACTTTGTGTTGCAGGGTTGTAGCTTCTATATATATTATTTATACCTTGTATACTCTGTGTCTAACTTGTGAGGGGTGGTATTACTCTTTATTTGGAGTTTTTATTTTGGAAACTCCTATTACTAATCATTTCCGCATTTAAAGGTGTTAATTTTCAGAAACGCCTATTCACCCCCCCCCTCTAGGCGGCATTCTAGGTCCTTTCACTTACACAGCGACTGAGCTTGAGCAACTAAGGTCGTTGAACGTACCTTTCATGGGCGTTCCGAACTATAGGGATGTCAGCATGACGGATATGACAGTTTGTGACACCGGTCTCCAGATGTGTAGGAAATCATTATATGACCGTGAGAAAGAAACCCTTAGGAAGGAGATGATATTCAATACAATGTCTAAATGAAGCTCTTCTTTCAGGATTATGCTGTGTACCACTATAGGCCGTACACCGTCACTCATTCGGACTAGGAGTTAAGGTACCATGTGATATGCAAAAACGGTTGTATGCGGAGGTTAAATGCACGAAAGAGACAGAGTGATGGCAAGTGGAGGATAAGTAAAGTTGTCGAACCCCACACTTGCCTATTAAATAGGGGGAAGGAAAATCATCAGCAGCTCATTGCACGTTACCTTACCCGTCGTATATTGGGGCTCGTTGATGACAATAACGACATTTCGGTGTCTTCTTTACAACAGTTCATATCTGGATTCGTTAAGTACGATGCGAAATACGGAAAGGCTTGACGTGCTAAGCAATAGGCGTGGCCAAAAGTGTTAGTTTTGGAGAGAAAAAACAATGTTAGATTTAAAATTAATTTACAAAAAGTATTAAAATTTAAAAAAATCCATCATGATTTAGTGCGAGTGCGAGGATATTGCCACAATCTGCCAAAGTCGTTCGTCCGGAGAACTGAGACTTCTCAAATGATTATTTATGATCCAAGACAGATGAAAGGTATTTGTATGGAAGAATTTTATAGTACCCCAAAGTTTTCATATCGTTGAGCTCATTTCTTGTGACCGATAAGCATGAGTCCGTTCATTTTTGTGTTCCAGATGTATTAGCCGTTTTATTTGCAGTCTACATGAAGGGGAAGGGGAGTTCAGTTTGTGGTGTAATTGGTCATGGGACATTGCTGTTTACTTTCCCCCTTGGCTGGCAATGGCAAACAGAGTGGAAAATCATTGTTGATTCTTGGACAGGCCCAGAGTTTGCAGCAACTGGCAGTGGGTACACGAAAGAGGTTGAAGACATGCTCAAAGTGCTGTCACCGTGGATGGTATCCTTTATTAAGAATTTGCCTGCTATTAAGGTACTCATCCCTCACTTCAGGCACATAATTGGCATGGTGGAATATATCAGCTGTATCATTATTTAGCATCTGCATTTCAGAATTTACATTACTGCAGGGTGATGTAAGAAGCAAACTGGGCACCTGTGAGACTAGTCTGATGTGTGTTGTTTCTTCTATCGTTGTTATTTGTTCTGATGTGTGTTGTTTCTTCTATCGTTGTTATTTGTGCTAACTGTTGGCAGAACGCACTCAACTCCTCGGGTGGTGCTGATGATGCCAAGGACGACGAATGGAAGCACAATCGAAGTGAACTTGTCCGGTTGCTTTAAGTTTGAAAGTTCGGTACTTGTCCAGTTGCTTTAAGTTTGAATGTATGGTTTGCACGCCAGAGGAACATTTATGGGTTTTGGGTAGCCTGCATAACCAAGGTGTTTGATTTGTTTTGCTGGACTGGACTTGTGCTCCTAGTGCTAGCCTGGTTATGCATCATCAGGCTTTGACTTAAATGGATGGATGGACTGGGAGGGTTAAGCATCACCAGTTTAGAAGGACAGCCACTAACCAAACCACCGATCACGGGTTCAAACAGTAACAGAAAAGCACGACACTTCCCAAGAAATAGAATGCGACAGATACCAGTGCGACAAAGGACCATGCTACTATCTCACCATAGGAAAAAACGATCAATTCGCAGCACAACACAAATCCAAATACTACCAGCTGGACAACCCAGAATATTAAAGTTCACACACCACAGCCTTGTTTTGCTGCATCCATCACATAGCCACTAGTCTCTAAGCAAAATAAGGCCAGGCCTACTTCCACCGACATTCTTTCCAGACTCAATTGAACCTCCCATGCTTCGCCTTCGTGGCTCGATTGGACCTGCGACTCACTTGGTAACATGTTTCGCCTTCGAGTGAGCCTGAAGGGCCATCTCACTGTTGAATGTCCTGGACAGAACAACAAACAGAGGCCAAGGATCAATACAGTGATATTTCACCAAATAACCAAATAGGCTCACCAAATAAAACTGTGCCGACTTACTTGGTGCACGATTTGCAAGGGACCGAGCCACCAGATTTTGGAGACTTATCCTTTGATTTGTCATTGTTAGCAGGGGTCTTGCCTTTTGCTGGGTGTGGAGTTGCCACATGAACGGCGCCCTTCTTGCCACCTGCACAAGGAATACATGTTTTCATAGCAACAGTTCTATGGCAGAAAGACCTAACTCTAGCATAGCAACAAATCCATGGCAGAAAGGCCTAACTCTGACTACACACCTGTCTTCTGGGCTGTCGGTGTGGCAACCTTTGCTTTCTTATCAGAAAGAGGAGTCAGGGAATTTTCAGCAGGTCTCTTCTTGCCTGCCTCTGGCTGAAAAAAAAAACACATTGATATCATCTAATAACAACAGATTAGTGAATTTAAAACAGGAGCAGGAGTAAATCCATGAAGCACATACCTTCTTAGGAGTTGGAGTCTCTTCCTCCTCATCGTCACTTGTATCATCCTCATCACTTGAATCCTAAAACAGGAAAAATCAAAAGTTAATCAATATGGAACAACCCTAACGTGCAGACAAACCATTTCTCCATCCTTCCACTCACATCATCATCGCCTTCTTCAGGAGATAATCCCTCACCCTCATCAGAATCATCTGTGTCATCTTCATCAGAATCATCAGTCTCATCCTCATCAGAATCATCATCATCCTTGCTTTTCTTAGAAACAAGACTAGATTTTGAAGCTGCCGCAACTGCCTTCTCTTGATTTTTCTGCTCCTTCCCATCAGCTTTGCCTAGAGACAAGTAGATGTGTTCATAATCCAAACAACCCCCAACACCACCACCAGAAAGAAAAAAAGAAAAAAAAAAAAAACACCACCACCAGAAAAAAGAAACAGGGAAGATATATATACCATTTTCCTTGATTACTGGAATGTCCAGCTCCTCATCTTCATCTTCAGAATCAAGATCCATTGTGGAGGAAGGCAAAAAGGAGGTCAAGGAAACCAATACTCCACAAAAAAAATGTTTTGATCACTCCTACTGAAAATAAAAATAGAACTAATTCAACGCTAAAAAATAATTCGACACCAAAAAGGATATTCATCTTCCTCCATTGGCTGCTCAACCTTGTAACCAGAGAAGAACACACTGGTAGTTTTTGATGTGTGCGACAGCTCAAACTCTTTATCGAAAACCAAATCGAACTGTATTTGTGGGTACTTGTCAATAGAGAGGGTTCCAATGGCAAGCTTCTGATCGTCGACTTTGACATACATCAAGGCATTGCCACTTTTCTTTGATTCCCCAAGAGCAGCCTGCCGGATTAAATCCAATTAAGTATACAGAGCAAACCCAACAGAGGAAATAGGAAAGTAGGAAATTTACACATAGCGCAAATCCAACAGATGAAAGTAAGTCTACACATAGTGCAAATCCAACAGTGGAAAGTAAGTGTACACATAGACAAAGCAACGAATCTACCTGGGAAAGGTGCAGGATAAAGCCATGTCCAGGCTCACACTTAACAGTGGATCCAGGCTTGACCTCGAGACCTGCAAAACAGGGAGGAGTCTGAGATAGGTTACATTAAGAATACAAATCTGATGCTGTTTTTACAATGGTAGCAAAAGAACAAACATCCCGCAATGCGCAAAACAAAACAAAACAAAACAACAAATTCAGGGGCATCACGTCCTACAACAAGACCAACACGTTTATGTATGATTTCCACCATTTAATCTACTTTTTCCTGTCATGCTGGGCATAAAGGCAATGCTACATTGCTACTGGTGGTAGAACAAAAGAATCAGGGAACAATCTGAGGTAAGTTACATTACGAATGATCTGATGCTGTTTAACAAAGGTAGTAAAAGAACAAACATCCAAATTCAATGGCATCACTTGCTATAATAAGACCCTAAACAAACAATCTACCTTTTCCTAACATACTGGAAATAGGCAATGCCACATTGCTACCAATAGTAGACCAAAAGAATCACATCACATAATAATCACACGTCAAAATAAATATAACTAAATATAAACTGGAAAAGGAAAGAAAGCAGCAGCACCCCATGATGCAGTAGTAAGTAGTAACGCATCAAGCACTACCCATGATTCCCAGGGACCTAAAACATAGCCCTAAAACTAGGCCTGCTAATGGGGCGGGGCCTGATGGAGTTTTTGGGGGCAGGTTCTGTGATGGAATGTGTGGGGATGGGTGAAAATTGGGTTTAACTAAATTGTGTTGAGGCGGGTTGGGTTTATAAACAAGACGGGTTGGGACGGGTTGATACGGGTCACACAGAAATAATCGGTCGGCGGCGATGGAGGGCCGGCGCGTAGCGCGTGCAGCAGCAGGCGCAGGGCCGCAGGGGCCCGGCGCGGGCCAGCCCATCGGCTTCCACCCTACCGACAACTGCACTACCACCGTCGCAAGGCGCTCGCATGCCTGCACCCCGCCGCGACGTCGGAGGTCTCGGATTCCTGGCGAGTCAGCGACCCATGCGAACATCCAAAAATCAAATAAAGGTATCGCAAAACAAAACAAACAAAGCACAGGTATCGCAGCGAATTGAGTTTGCAAGAAACAAAGCCTGAATTGAGTTTGCGAGAGAGAGAGAGAGAGAAAGGAGGTCACCCCAGAACTCCATCGGCGGTGGCGCTGAAGCGGCGACGGGAATGGGAACTAGGGTTTAGGCCGCCGGGTGAGGAAAGGACAGTACTGGAAAGAAACGGAGGGGAGGGCAGTGGAGTCGGCCAGTCTTTTAAAAGGCGGAGACCGCAGCTTTGCCGTCCGATCTAGACTCCACACATCCTGGCCGCTCTTTAAAAAAAAATCTATGAGACAGAGAATGGGGATGGTAGTCTAAATGGGCCAGAAGCCCACCAACACATCATTGGGCTTGTAGGTATTCGCGTCCACGAGATGCCGTCGAAGACGCGTGTATGACCGTGCGGGACAGAAGAAATCCAGGACTCACGCGAGTCACGATCAATCGAGACGAGCGGGGAATTGCGAATGGGCCGGTGGTAGGGCAGTCACCTATTTTCTAGATTTTTTTCAGAATTTATAGGGTATAGGTACGCGTACGCGTTCGATGATACTGTGCGTTTTTCACACACTGGAGGCTAGAAAGCCTCCCAATCTTTTCTTTGCGTATGTACAAACATGCAGACGTGTATATGCGTGTGGTGTGAGTACGAAGTGTGTGAGTTACCTAGTAAGAGAGAGAGAGAGACGAGCGGGGGACCGGGAATTGGAGCAGCAAACAAAAATGATCTACGAGGAAAGATTAATTTTAGCAGAATTTAAATCCTTCATACATCATACATCATTTGCAATGGCATCTACAAGGAATGATTAACATAGCACCATTTGCAATGGCGCACAAGATTCAGGTAAAGATCGAGCAGTACACGAAGTTGTTCACTTCACCGGAGATTCATCGCCCGCAAGAAATCCTCCATCGCCTTCCTCGACGCCCCGCCTCCCTTGTTCCAAGACCCCTCCACCGCCTCCTTGATCTCCCTCACCCGCCGCCGCATCTCCGCGCCCTTCGCCGTCTGGCCCATCACCGTCTCCACCACGTCGGCGACCGCGGCCCTGTTCACCACAGTGTCCTCCATGTTCCCCCTCGCCACTTCGACGCCCACGCCCCACTCCTCTTTAAGCATCTTGGCATTGTAGAACTGCTCGCCGGCGAGCGGCCAGCCGATGATCGGCACGCCGTGCGTCACGCTCTCCAGCACCGAGTTCCACCCGCAGTGGCTCAGGAAGGCGCCTGTCGACGCGTGCGCTAGGATCCTCACCTGCGGTGCCCACCCGCGTACCAGGAGTTCTCTGCTGCTCGTGCGCGCCCTCTCCTCGAACCCGTCCGGCAGCCACTGGTCGGCCCGGAAGTCGCCCTTGATGTCGTGTCCATTCGGCGGCCTCATAGCCCAGACGAACGGCTGGCCGGTTGACTCTAACGCCAGTGCCAGATCCGCCATGTGATCTGCTCGTATGGAGTTCTGAGAGCGGAATGAGATGTATAGCACCGACGACGGCGAGTGGTAGTCCAGGAAGCTCACGACGGCGGCCTCGGCCTCCAGCGAGACTGGAAGGTTGGTGGCGCGCACGAGAGGGCCGATGGGCCAGACCGGGATCTTGAGGGTGCGCCGCAGCATGTCGAGACCGGTGGGCTCGAACTCCTCCACGGTGTTGACGATCACCGCACCCGTCTCGTAGCCCAGAGGGATCTGCCGGCCGTAGAGCGCGGCGCGTTTGGCGACGGCGGGCGGGGCAGACGCATTTTTGGAGAGCTGCCAGCGGTGGATCACGACCTCGGGGTACTCGGGCAGGTGGACGCGGCCGGTGTCCGGGTCGGGTTGGACGGGCAGGTGGCTCCAGAGCGAGTGCACGACGGCGCTGCCGTACGCGCCGCAGGAGGCGAAGAAGGCGTGCGCGCAGCCGCGGCGCCGGGCCGCGGTCACCGTCCACGCCGTGAACGGGTCGGACACTACGCAGACATCGTGGCCACCGCCGGCGGCGGTGGAGAGGTAGTCGTCGAACGCGGCCTCGAGCGACTCGAACGCCACGAGGAGGCCCGCGATGGCGCCGGGCTGTACGGCGTCGGAGGACTCGCAGTCCGGAGGCAGGCCGTGGTCCGCCGGGGTGAAGGGCAGCGCGTGGAAGCCGAGGAACGACGAGTTGGACCACGCGGTAGTCCGGAGCGCGGCAACGTTGTGCGGGGTGGAGACGAGCGTGATGGCGGCATTGGGGAGAGTGCCGTGTAGGAGGTCGGCCAGGGACATGAACGCGGAGAGGTGGCCCTGACCGGGGAACGGGAACAACACGACGTGCTTGGCGGCGGCCATCATTGGCGAGCAGCTAGCTTGTTGGCTTACTAGCGTGGTGAGCTGTAGGAGTCGAACATTGGTGAATGAGGTGAAAATTTTGCATTTTAGCCCTTTCAAAAATCAATCTCTTAAAATAGACTCATCTCAAAACTTTTTCTTAAAATAGACCAAACCTCGGCATTAAATAATAAAACGCCGAGATATTTGAATCGGCGTCATGTCCGGTTACGCCAAAACCTGCCACGTCAATGCCAACGTGGCGTGTCACCTCCGGACCTCGGCATGCTGTCATCCAATGCCATCCTTCATACATCGGCGTTAAGTAGTATCACGCCGAGATCTAAACGCCGCCGCCTTGCTTCCTGGTGACTTGCTACTTGCGGCAAAACAGGCCACGTATTCAAATATCTAATCGTCAAAGAGATACATACCGGACCTGTCTCTCGATTTCCCGTTAGCTTCTTCTCTCTTGACGCTTCCTTCCGGTATATACCCAAATTTGTTGAGTTATTCTCGTCTCAAAAAAAAAATTGTTGAGTTATTCCATGCAAGCTAACTAACTTGCTAAAAGAAATATTGTGCACATTTTTTAAATACTTTTAGAAGATTAAAATAAGTTAAATATTTGATCTATCAAGACTGTAGTGCTTAGCAATGCAAGAAAAAAATCTATCAAGAACGTATTTTAATTTAATATACAAGGTTAAATAGTTATGTGGCATGTTTATTTCCGTTGCAACGCACGACCACGTTTGCTAGTCATCTTTCTATATCTATTTTTGTTTTAACTTATATGAGCACGACTCGTGAGTCCAAGTCACATATGAGATACGCAGAGTGTGACTTAATAACGTTGTTCTTTGCACAACTGGTATTGTTCTAAATCTTCTTTGCACAACAGTGCCATCTAACTAGGCTGCAAAGTCTTGTTCTAAAAACTTCTTCTATTTTGCTCTTTCCAAACGTTCCACCAAAAGTAGATCATAATACTATCGAACGCCCTTCTTTGGTCTTTATCAAACCTTAACCAACAATTGCCCTAGTAAAGGTGAAGAGATCCTGCCATTGCCACCGTATCAATCAACGATAATCCGAGCCATTGTTTTAGGATGGACCAAACTTGCTTTGCGAAAATACAGTCCTTACAAAGGTGTGTTGATGTTTATGGCTACCTACACATTTCCAAACCAAATCGTGTGCAATCCCTAGTACAACAAACGAAACAAACTAACCTATCCAAATCCATCATTTAACAACTACCTAGGTCGATGCAACCCGTAGTTTACGTCCAATCCACGGAAAGAGTATATCCTAAACCTAATTCATGCGAATGAGAAGGTGGAGAGAGAGAAAAGAAAACTGGGCCGGGCCGGCCAACCCTAAGTCAGCTTGTCGCGCCAGCCCGCATGGCGCGACAGCTCTGTCACGCCAAAGTCGGTGGCGCGACAGGGTAGGCCCCAGCATGCGTCGCGCTGGATCCAGTCAGCGGTCTTCGCCACGATGGCGCCTCTTGTCGCGCCAGTGCAAGTGGCGCGACAGTGTGGGGCTGTCGCGCCAGTCGTGCTGGCGCGATCAAAGAGGCTACATTTGATTAATCTTTTTTGTAGCTGTTATTATTAAAATATTGATTAAAGAAGAATTAAAAATAAAAAAAATCAGTTTAATGTGGGTAGCACTTCGGCCCCGTTCGGCTTACCCAGAAATCGGCTTGTTCGGCTTGTTTTTTCAGCCGGAACAGTATTTTCTCTCACAACAATTCAGTCAGAACAGTGTTCTTCGGCCAGTTTCAGTCAAGTTTCAGCAAGCCGAACGGTACCTTCGTTTGGGAACGCAGGCAGCCGCTCGGTGCTCAGAATGGAAGCATTTCCGGCATCTGGGGGGAGAGTTGAAGTTTGAAAAGTAAAAAAGTCGGGACAGAAAAAACTCTCGTTGTCCAAGTACTTAAGAGGTGGACAAAACAATGGATAAAGAGAGATTTTACATCTTTATTAACAAATAAATAAGTATAGATATCTCAGAACCGAATATACATCGTACCGGTGTCCTCGCTCTCATCGAGAGAACTACTCGAATCATATATCTAACTTATTTTAATCTTCAAGAAATGTTTAAAAATGTGCGCAACATTTCTTTTGACAAGCTAGTGTGAATGGAGTACTCAAAAAATTTGGGTATGTACCTTAACGAAACGTCCATAGAGAAGCAGCTAATGATAAATCAAGAGATCACGCACGTCCAGTACGTATCTCCTGGCCGATTAGGTATAGTATATTATTTGAATTCATGACCTGTTTTGCCTGCTCCCTGTATAAACGGCGCAGATCGCCGAACTCTCCGCCCGCAAGTAGCACGTCACCAGGAAGCAAATCGGTGTTTAGTAGATCTCGGCGTGATACTACTTAACGCCGATGTACGAAGGATCGCGTTGGATGACAACACGCCGAGCTCCGGTGGTGCCACGTCACATTGGCGTTGACGTGGCAGGTTTCGGCGTAAGCTGACATGACGCCGATTCGAAGATCTCGACGTTTTTTATTTAACGCCGAGCTTTTGGTCTATTTTTGGAAGAAGTTTTGAGAGAGTCTATTTTAAGATATTGTTTTTTGAAAGGACTAAAATGCAAAATTTTCATGGTGAATGAGTGATGCGACGCAGTAACCATTGTGTGGAGTGGAGAGCTGGGGTTGGGGTGACGTACTTCCTACTCCGTCCAATCCAATTATCATTCTCCGATAACTCAAATGATTTGAGATTTGATTAAAATTATATAAAAAGTATTAGTATTTATGATACAATCATTAGTTAATCAATTAATTATAAAATATATTTTGGATAGGTGGGAGGCAGGAACGAACGTGAACTGCCTGAAGAAGTGAAGAGATGAACGTGAACGGTTCAATCTACATCCAACGGTACCAATGTGTCACCTAAAAAAAAACACATAGACGCTTGCACTATAGAATTCCCTAATTCCCCTGGTTGTGATCACGACAAACTATCGATTATTGGTTGAGCTCTGAATTGTATATGGACTATCTTTAACAAGGAATCTATGGGGCAGGTTATATGTTTTTTAGCCGGTCTTAATAAAAGTTTTATAAGAGTTTTATTTGCATTTAATAGTCTGCCACATAGGTATTTTTTATGACATGGAAATGTTTTTTACGAAGTGAGAGAAGAAGTAAGTTTCATGATGATGAAACTCTCTTAGCATGATTATCAATTTTATAGGTATTTTTATGAAGTCAAATGTCTATGAAATGATATAATAAAACTTTTCATTGATAGTGGAAGTTCCATTCACATTTTATTTTATTATATATGACATATTTGTCTTAGAAATAATGCTATGAAACTTTCAATAAGACTGATCTCATAAAAAAAATGCAACAAAAGGTATGTTTGGCAGCAGGGTACGATGGCCGCACAGTACAGTGACCGTGGCCTCCCGCCAGTGGCACAAAAACACAAGTGATTCATTTTCGCGGAGTGTGTCTGGCGCGGTGAAAAGAAAATCATAGATTCACATGAGGCGTTTTGGCAAGATTTTTTTTTTAATTCTATGTGGGACAGCTTTAATAGAAAAGAAACACGCCCAAAGACCTTCTTTCAGTCCGTTCGCTTGTTGGTTTCAGCCAACCCAAACCAGCCAGCTAACAGTATTTTCCTCTCACAAAAAACTAGCACCAGCCAGCCCAAACCAGCACCAACCAGTGAACGGGCCCTTTGTGGATAGGCAGGTTTCATGCGTTGGTCAAATCGTCCTGAGTAACAGAAGACATTCTTCTGTGTAGAACCGATATTCCGCTAATGACATTCACTATGCCGTTTTAAGATCGTAAGGTAGGATAGCCTGAGAACCTGAAGAGATGCCAGCCTGCCTCATGTAAACCACACTTTTATCATGGGTGACAGACTGATAGACCTGAATTTATCATCCATGTGCCTATTTCTGAAACTAGCCGTCTCTTTCGCCTTCTGCTATGTCTTCATATCTTACCCCATAGTGCCACATCTTTACACCTCTGACAATAACCAGGGGGCTGTTCGGCAGGACTGAAAAATGAGCAAAAATACTGTTCCGACTGATTGTTGTGAGAAAAAAATATTGTTCTACCTGAAAACACTGTTCATCGAGTGCGCTGTCCAGCCCAGACGAACGCGGCCCAGTACTCCATTTGTTCTAAAATTTAAAAGGTTTAAAACAAGCTAATTAATTTGTTTTTTGAACTAATTAGCTTCCCTAAGCATTCTACATCTTTTTTTGAGGGAAAGCCATCATGGCAACTTTATTAATTGCGCCAAAATAAAATCTGGAGGATCCTGTTCCCAAAGAATGGGCAGGGATCCTTCAAGCGGAGGGAGTAGAAAGAACACAAAATAGTATGTGTGCCCATTGGGCCATTGCCGTACAGCATAAACAAGTCAGTAAAACTAAGACATAGGGATTGTGCGGCAAAAACCATTGCAACATTGTTTCAAATTGGGTTTGGGTTCACGCCTTTTGGGCCTGTTTGATACGAACCTGGACGCAAGATGCCTGGCTAGGAGCTCGCCTGGAAACTGCCTGTACAGTGTTTGGATGAAGCCCTGAGAGCTTGACTGACCCAGGCAGCCGTGCGCACGCCCAGGCGATGGAAAACGTCCGCCTGGCTCAGGCTTGCGTAGTTTGCCTGGTCTAAACACATAAAGTATCTTTATTGATATTAATGGTCACTTGATTAATTCCATAAGACCATTATTACAGCAGGTTCTTCCTCTCCCTTTTTCCATGTATAAACGCTAACATAGTATATAAGATACCATAAATTATTGTATATTTGTACAGAAAAATATTATAGTGTAATTCGAAACTGAGCGCCTGGCTCTGGCATGAGTGTTGTCTCGCCTAATCACCATGATTAGCTAATGGAATAGGAGTCACGTAGCGACAAATTTTTTTTACTGTCTAAACACAATTTTTTTTTGTCTTTACTTATCTCTTTCTACTATAATTAAATACATATAGAGATCTGTCATTAGAAGAAGAAAAAATTAATATTTTCACAAAGAATAGATAATTAACTTAAGTTATTTATTTAGTAAACACACAATAAAAAAAGTAAAATTTCACTCGCATAAGCATTCTCAAGCATAGGCATCCAACCAAACAGACAGACTTTCTCTGTCCTTGCCTCACCAGACAAAACTCATCAGCTTTACAGGCAACTTCGCGGCAGCACCTTTTGCCAAAGTCACTAGGTCTCCGACCAAACAGGCCCTTTGTCCACGCTCAGTATGCCTGAGCAATCAGAGTTCTGATTATTTTGTTCTAGCATGTAGGGGAGAATCTCAGCCTCAGACATTTGCAGTACAAAAGAAGCATCCTAGATTATTTTGTTCTCATCAATCAGGCCTCTTGCTTTCAAAGGACAAGATAACTGAGGGTAATGTAAACAGACGTAAATCATATATTTCCAAGCCTCGTAGTAAACAGACTAATCAGATGGTGTATACACATCTGGTGCAGCCCCAGTGCTTAGCTGACCTTCCAAAGCAGCTAGTCGCTTTTCAAGGGCTTTGTAGCGGGTGTCAGTAGAGTCTTGGAGACCTTTCACCTGAGTATATGCATTGTTAAGGTCAGATGCTTTTCCTTCGACACAGCCAGAATCATGCAGTGTGGAGAGGAATTTAACAAAGGCTGAAAGTTTTCGCTGTGGGGACAGGATACGAAATATAGATATAGATATAGAAAACTTAATGTCACTGCTAAGAGTTTGAGAGACTTGTGAAATGTGAAAAAAAAAACAATAGCTATGAATTTCTCAGAAGCCTTAAGCCAAGAGGAATTTGATGGCCTTTTGTTTGGCAACTGGAGCAGGATTTGAGCTACAGATATGGAAACCTAAATCTTATAGGTCAAGCAAGAATTGTCTTCTTGAGAGACTAATGCAAAGTCAAAACATAACTGTCAAAGAGAAAATGACTGCAAAACAATAACCATACATCAGGTTCCTCTATTTGCACAAAATTGAACAATTTCCCCAAGTCTTCTCTACACAACTTCACTAAATTTTATGAGCTAACACTTTTTTTTGTTGATTCTTACTGAATGTATCTGGTTTTGAACCTCAAAAACAGAACGTCAAAAAAAGCACAAAGTTTATCTACATGATTCCACCCATTTCTATAGTTATCACAGTGCCATGAATGCTTGCTGAATGTATATGGTTTTAAGCCTCAGAAACAGAAAGTCAGCAAAAATCTACCAGGTTTTTCTGTACATAACTCTACTCATTTCTATGAGTTATCACATTGTCATTAATGCTTACTTAATACTGAATATATCAGGTTTTGAGCATTAGAAACAGGGTAAGTCCTGAAGTTCACAAAAATGCGTACTTATGTTTACTCTAAAGTTTTTTTAAAAAATGTATACTTTGCAAAATGCATACAGAGACAGATGGACAAACTGAAAACCATAACTGCGCTGCACTGATGAATACCAATGCCTGTCTATGCCTAACTGCAAAGTCACATGTACAAAACCCGGTTTAATACAGCTATGATCCAATAACACTGTTGAGTTTTAACAAGACTGCTATCTTAAAATTCAGAATCACTTTAGGGCTTGGATGCCCAGGAATCCACCTTAATCCATGTGTATTGGGGTGGGTTGGTGTGGAATTTAGTTTAAGTTCCACGTCAACACACTCCAACACACATGGATTGAGATGGATACATGGACATCCAAACAAGGCCTCAACAGGTTTGCTTGTTTAAGACACCAGCGCGTGATCATCATATGTCTGCAAGGGACTCCAAACACACTACTTCCAGTCACAAAGTGAATGTACAATCAATAAGAGCTATGGGCTGTAAATAGTTCTGCAGAAAAACATGCCCAGCCATTTCTATTTTACAGAATCTAAAGTTGCAGCAAACCAATTGTAAACATCCAGAGCCACATATATATACTACTTCGAAATTTGATCAAGAGTAGTTTGTTGTCTCTGTTTGTAGGCAATTTAGAAGCCAATTGCAGAGGTAACGATGTGAGAAATGTATGCCAGTTGCCCAGAATGGTACATATGAAGATACACTTAACAGGAAATGATTGAGCAATTGGGTAAGGAACTGATAAGAAAAAAACTTCAATTTGACATGCCACATCATATAATGTGGTGCTGCAACTGCAACCGCTGATCTTAAAAGGAATGCCAGTTCAATTCGGTAGATATTGTACAGGACACAAAAAAAAGATAAATATAAGCATCGGGGTTGATTAAAACCCACTCGATTCCGCGCTCACCACAGCATTTGGGGATCCGTGGCTCATCCACATGCTGACACCTGTCCTTGCTGAGTTTTCAGAAAAGTCCTGCTTTCCAGAAAATAACCCGCCATCCAGTCCATTGTCCAAAAGTCCAAAACAGTGTCCACGTCTGAAAATCTTTCATATAACCCCCTTATGTGACGTGAAGAAGAGAAAATTCGAGTCTTGCTTCATTTTTGCAGACAACCCCCTCCACCTGGCCCGACCGAAGCCCTGAACCCTGCCCTCTTCATTCCCCACTCTCCTTTCTCTCTCTTCTCCCATTTCTGGTGCCGCTACGTCCCGTCACACCGAATCCGCCGCCGGTGCCAACTCCGGCAGATCCACCCTGTCCTCCTCCCTAAACGTCACACACTAGAGAAGTCGCCATAGGACGGGGCCTCACGACGACTCGGTAATCGAAGTGCCCATCATCCCCGCCGCCGCTACCCTTGCGTATGGCGGCGCGTGCTCCAAGCTCGACAACGTCGCTCCTCCGCCTCCTCCACGGTCGCATCCGCGGCGACCACAAACCTCTCCGTACTAAGCGGACGTCGAGGATCTGGCAGCAGGCGAGATCTTGGCAACTCAGCGGCCTCGCCTCCGGCCTTCTCCATAGAGCTGTGAAGGGGAAATCCACTATCCCGGCTTTCCTTGCCGCAGCCATGGGCGAGGATCTCGCTGGTATCCCTCCGGTACACTAGGATCCCACCCGGATCTTGGAGCTGCAGTGGTGTCGGTGGTGAGATTCTCTCTTTCTCTCTCCTACTCTCTCGCTCTATGAGTCTGTTCTTATCCTGTATGCTCCATGCATCAGTTGCACTGCGTGGTGCCGTGGTGGCTCCATGGGCCGTGGTAGTCAACTTCGTCTCCTCCCCCTCTTTGGCTCTCTGTGTCCCTCTGCCTTCCTCTTTGTGTTTCATTTTTCATCTCTCTTTGCCTTTGCTGCATGCTCACTCCAGGCCACTCCACCTTCGTTGCCTACTCCCATGGCAGCACTCAACCTGTCCGCGTGGATCTCAGCCCTGGCTATCAGATTCGCACCAGGCACCACCGGATCCACACTGGGAGATAAGGTACCACTCTTATCCAGGCGAGATGCGACCGTGGGCATCGGCGGCGGCGAGTGACGAGCCGTTCCTTGGGGAAGGGTAGGCCTCGCCTCCCTCACTCTCTGAGATGCCCAGGAGACAGGAGTGTCCAGGAACCAGCACGTGTTTGGCTTGGGGGCAACTGTCCACTTGTCGGTGCCATTGATGTGTGCTCCGCGGCACACCAGATGTTCTCTTCGTTGCCTCACCCACCACCTGACCATCAGACATGGTATGTTCCCCTGTATTTCCTATTGTTTATTTTCTTGCTGCATCCCACAGCTTTTGCTCGGTTTCAATACCAGTGCTAACACCGTGGGTTTCTACAGGCCTTGCAGTTGATGTACCATGCACAGATGATTTGCACTACTATGACAGCACACGTCCCAAATTCATTTTTGTTTCTTTGCTGCTGGAGGTTGTCACAAACTACTTACAAAACTTCGCTGATAATTTTTTTGTGAGTCCAATCGATAACAATATAGATGTTAGGTGGCTTACGAAAAATACCAATAATGCTTGCTCACATTCTACATGTTTGCATCCAAAGGGTGCATACTTAATTAGTACATCTATTACCATTATTGCATTTTTTCCTTTATTTTCAAAATGTTGAATGTCACTGGAAATACCCCTTTGGGGCTTTGGCAGGTATGCGCCTTTTTCGTTTGGGCTTGTTTGGCTGATAAGCCACGTCTGAAAGTACCGTTGGCTGATTTGGTGTGAGAGAAAAATACTGTTCGTTGACTGAAAAAGTACGGCTTATAAGCCAAACAAGCTCAAACGAACAGGGCGATGGTTCTCACTTCGGCATTGATCATATGGAAAGGAGTGCCGGTAATAATGGGGTGTGTCTCGCCAGCTATGGTGATTATTTGCCCTGTTTGCTTGGCTGTTAAGCCATGGCTGAAAGTACTGTTGGCTGATTTGTTGTGAGAGAAAAATATTATTCGTTAGCTGAAAAAGTACGGCTTATAAGCCAAACGAATAGGGCGATTATATCTGGAAGCATGGAGCCTTTGCTCCAACAATCTTGACAGCTATGCAGCCACTGAGGTACTGTACCTCAGTTCGTTTTGTTTGCTCTTCTATGTTTCGCAAGCTGGATTAGGGCACGTTCAGCCCACAGACAGCCTCCTGTCTGTAAGTTTTTTTGAATCCGAACACAGACGATTAAAAAGACAGGTCATTGTATGGACTGTCTATTTAGTTGTCTGCAAGCTGTTTAATGCTTGTATGTAGCCAATATCAATTATGAAGACCATTTTGTTGCTATTTGATAGAAAACGGATCACACAAGTAGTTTGTTACGTACAAGACAAGTCTATCTTCTATTCTATAACAATAATATCACACAAGTAGTTGCTGATTATAAAGCCGTATACATGCCACACACATACACTAGCCCGGTCTCAGATGCCACAGTTGATCACGGCAAGCCGTCTCTTCTCGCAATGCTGCATACAACGGGAGAAGGTGCGGCGGTGTAACCTCGGAGCACAGGCCACGCTCAGGCGACGGGGCAGCTCTCTCTCATCATTAATGAAGGGTGTTTTTGCTACATGCCCTTAGATTAGTCACACAATACAAACAATTATGAGCTGAAGTCATTAATTTCCTCTATTAGACCGTTTTGCTATTGTTGCACGATAGATATGCATACCTCTTCTCATTTTTTTACTATATGAACAACCTTTTCTTTCTTACAAAAAATTCCAGTGGAATGCAGAAGTGCTGGCAGCCCAGTCCAGGGTCATGGGTGAGCTTCCCACTTGGTAATTTGGCGGAGTTTGCAGATTATTACTATTCGCTTTCTTGGTTTGTATGCACAAAAGGGCGTACTCAGTGCAGAGAGCTCCCGCTCTGTGCGGGGTCTGGGGAAGGGTGTCAGTGGCAAGCCTTACCCTCGCCTGTGTATGCACAACAACTTAGTAAAATAAGTTACACAGTCAATAAATGATTCCTATAATTGACAACCAGGTAGTGCAAGTTTAAGACGCTGATCTTTGCATACTGTATATCAGCTGCAACAATTTGGTTAAGATACTGTATTTTTCACCGCCAACCAAGTAGTGCAGGTTTAAGATACTTGGGGTTCTACTTAAGAGACACAATATTTATTTTCACGTCATAATTGTAGCATGTCTGATATTGAAGTCCTGCTTACAATTGTCTACGCTTGGTTTCTAGGCAGCACTGCAGCAGTAACCTAAGGAGAACTAAACGAACTCTTATATACAACAAGCAAGGGCCAGATCAATCAAGGGACGCATGAGCTCAGGCCTGAATACAAGTGTGCACATACCCATTGCTTGAAGCTTGTGTAGAAAACTCTTTGGTGTCGATGCCGTGTTGACAGTGACAATGCCGTGTACTTAGATCTTTCTGTTACCATCTATTTATAGCTTTACAAAGTGTTAGACAATAGCTTATTGCCTTCAATTCATTGTAGGGCGCCTGATGTTCTAGTTAAGTGAAAGGTCCATGGAAACCTCATATATCCCCAAATAGCTAGAAAACAATACCACTCAGGCCCTACATGAAAGCATCCAACATCTCAACAAAACAATTATGCCAATCCCCTTCCCAGTGATATGACAAGCACATGATCTAGATAGAAATGCTACACCAACTTTGCTTCAATCTATCAACACTGGTATTCTTAGTAAAACCAAACCATAGGACAGTCATCGGATCATCAAGCAAGACGTGTGTGGCATGACGGCCAGGGCTAAAGCTCGAAGGCACGCCGTCCCGTCCCGTCGAGGGCTTACCCCGGATACCCCATCCCGCACGCAAGATGCCGATGCTCTTCAGGAATTACTGCTGGAGAACCACCACCACCGAGGGCACCAATAGCGATACGCGCGCAATAATCTAAGATCTGAGGCGAAGCGATGAGAAAGGGGGGGCGGAGTGCGTACCTTGAGGGCCATGGAGTCGTTGGCGAGCTTGTAGTCCTTGTAGAGGAAGTAGCCCCCGCCCGCGCCGGCGGCCGCCGCGCCGGCGAAGAAGGAGGCCAGCCTGACCCGCAGCATGAACCCCATACGGCTCCGGCCCTAGCAACCTTCCGCCCTACCTGGTGGCTTGCTCGCTCGGCTCCCTTCCTTCCGCCGCCGCTGGGGGAGTGCGAATGCGAAGGCTTCGTGTGCTTGTGTGCCTGCTGCGTGGGGTGGGGTCGTCTCGACCTAGACCCCAGGGAAGGGCCCTGCCGCTGGGTCCTTATGTCAGTGTATTGTGTTCATTCGTTTCGCAAAAAAAAAAAGGTGTATTGTGTTCATTCAACAGTTGAGATCAGCTTGTCTTAGAGGCAAAAACCAATTGTGTTCGGCCAAAAATTCAGACAGACCATTTATGATAGAAAGAAAGAAGTCTATTTGTCCGAGTTCAATTTAGGACATCAAATTCTAAATTGAGGACCCTTTTACAATGCAGAAATTTCACGTAAATTATATAAGGAATTTCACAGTAATCAGTTCATTTTTTTTAAAAAAATACAAGAATAAAAAACCCCACATTTCAAAGGGGGCTTAAATAGTTTTTGCCATCGACCTATCAAAACCGAATAACTTTACTATAATGTTAGTTTCTGAATGGATCAAGATGCTCAAGATAGGTGAATTAGACTAATTCTAAAATTCTTTGTAATAATTAAACCCAACACTTAGCTCAGTTCACCCCTTGTGTCTAGAAAGTGATTCTAATGATCTATCGCACAAAAGTTTAGCACCCTAAGTTCCAATCCTACTCGAATATGACAATTCTAAGAATATAAAGATAAGAATTGAATTACTCAAAAGCAAATGCTCGAAGTAAAGAGAGGAGAAGAAACGCGGCGATGTTTTGCCAAGGTATCGGAGAGTCGTTACTCCCCACTAGTCCTCGTTAGAGCACCCGCGCAAGGGTATAGCTCCCCCTTGATCCGCGCAAGGATCAAGTGCTCTCTACGGGTTGATTCTTTAACACTCTGTCGCGGTGAATCAACCACAACCGCTCACAACTTGAGTTGGGTCATCCACAAGCTCCACCGGATGATCACCACACTCCCAATCATCACCAAACCGTCTAGGTGATGGCGATCACCAAGAGTAACAAACAAGAACTCTCACTTGACCACAACAAGTCTAATGAGAAGGGTGGATGCATACTTGCTACTCTCTTTTTCTAATGAGGCCTTAATCTTGGATTCTCAAATCTCAATCACCTCACTAGGCTCTTGCTCTTCTTGGCACTCTCAAGGGTGTTTCTCAGCTGTTGAAATAGGCAATAGTACTCCCTTGAATGAATAGAGAAAGTATTTATACCCCTAATTCAAAACGAACCGTTATGTGCCTGAGTCAGCACTCTACGGGGTGATCGGATGCTCCAGTCAAGGTGACCGGACGCTCCGATCAGTTCTCTCCACCACTGAGCTGTTAAGTTGTGACCGGACTTTGGCCTACGTCCAGTCTGCACTGACCGGACGCGTTCGGTCACAAAAACTGCTCTCTGTAACCTTACTGATGTTGACCGGACGCTAGAGTCCAGAGTCCGGTCACTTCGCTATTTAGCGTCCGGTCAGTAGTCGGAACCTGACTAGCGTCCGGTCAGCACTGACCGGACGCGTACAATCAGGATTCTCTCTCTGGAACCTTACTGGAGTTGACCGGACTCTGGCACCCAGCGTTCGGTCACATTTCATTCAGCGTCCAGTCGTATCCAGATGGCATCACTTGATCAAATAAACTGACCAGACTCTACTGCCAGGGTTCGATCACACCAGAACCAGCATCCGGTCAACATTTGACCCTCCATTCACTTTTAACTCGAAATCATATGTGAATGAAGTTTGCTCCAATTGATCTTAGGGCTATTTAGGAGCTACCTAGGGCTAGATTTGACAAGTGTGCACCACACCTAACCCACTAAACTCACATAGGTCAAGCTACTAGTCCATACCCCCCTTAATAGTACGGCCAAAAGAAAAACAAAATCCTAAACTACTTTAAGTGTCTCTTCAACACCAAATGACACTTAAAACTAGTCCATCCTTAACCGTGCCGTCCATCCTTTGAAAACCAAAACGATTTCCATCGTAGGGGCATAACAACCATGATTGCCCAATCAATTGCCATTACCATGACCTAACTTAATTGCCTCTGTAAAACACACGTTAGTCATAGTAATCACGTATTGTCATTAATCACCGAAACCCAACTAGGGGCCTAGATGCTTTCAACCTCCCCCTTTTTGGTGATTGATGACAATACAACCTCGAGTATGTAAAAGAGATGAGGTTTTCAACATGCTTGGTTCATATAAGCTTTTGACAATAAGAACAAAAGAGTTAGACAAGCTTATATGACCCAAGCCAACATGACGTACTCAATAGATATGAAATAAGCATGAGTACAAGAAATAAAACTCATTTGCATCGGAGTAAAAACGCAGAAGCAAAGCAAATGAGCATAACCAAGTGAAATGACATGACATGTATAAAGATCAAAGTAGAGAGCACACATGTCACATATCACATAAATATCACGATCACACGTATGTAGTTCAATGCATGGTAAACATGAATGCATAATAATGTATCACACATAAAAAGCCAAATATAATAAATAAGCTCCCCTTAGATATATCGCTCCCCCTAAGTCTATCATACTTGATCCCTCTCCTCCTTTGGCGTCAAGCACCAAAACCTAAGGGTCTATCGGCGGGGCAGAAGCAGACAAGCCAGGCGTTGAGTCATGGTGAGCGATCTAAAACTGGGTAGCATCATCATCTGATCTTAAGCTCTAAGTAGTCTGACTCTCTGTCGCTAGACATGACGCTGAAGCGATCTAGGTCGGATATGGAACTGGTGCTGCCTGTGACTCAGCAGGTATGACTGTAGCAGGTGGCTCTGATGATGCAACTAATGATGGGAGCGTCTCTGTAGTCCCGGTGACTGGAGCAATGGTGGAATGTCTAGGGACACGTAGCTCTAGCGGTGTAGGCTGCCCTATCAACTCATTGAAAGTAGCACAAAGGCTCCTAAAGACTAGGGTGTCTGTCACAAGCATGGACGAGCTCTGAGCCGGTGTGAAGCTCGTATGTAGAGGTGTGAAGGAAATACCCTGGACTGTCAAAGGTGAAGCAAACCATTGGGACACCTGCTCTGTCGATGAAGAAAACTGTGTCGCTGGTTGTCCCTGACTCTGAATCCCACTAGGCTGTAAAGCTGGAGTCACGGTAGTGGCAGCAGGCTGGCCAATCTAGGGTGTAAGCTGTGGTGGTGGAGCCCCAATAGCAGAGAGGAGATGCTACTGCTGCATGGCCTACTGCTGCTGCTGGATAGCCTGCTGCTGTCGCTGGAACTCGTCCTGTCTAGCCTGAACTTGTGCTAGAGCAGCTGTGGTCTCCTGGGCCTAGCGAGCCTGATCCTGTCTCATCCGCTCAAGTATCGCAAGAAGAGCGGGGTCTGTCTGCGTGCCTGTGGAGCCGAGTTGGAGCCACTGGCCTCACCGTCATGTCGTCGAGGAGGCATCTGAGGGATAGTCTGGTAGTCATCATCTGAACTGTCACTAGGGTCGCTCTCGACCATACCCTCCAGCTGAGCATCTAACTGCTACTCCTCTGTCGTTGTAATGCCTCTGATGATCTCATCCTGCTGGGCTACAGACTCTGTCACCTCTAGGCGGTGGCTCGGCTGACTAGGTGTCCTTACTGCACTATGGTGGAGCATCTGAGTCATGTTATAAGCTAGAAACTCTGTAGTAGCACTAGAATACTCTACCAGCATCTCAGAAGGCCTCACTGTGACTGCCCTGTGAATCAGAAAAGTGATCTAGTGAGCATATGGCAACTGTCGATGACCTCTGAACCCCTCTGCAATGGATCTTCCATCTCAGATAGAATGACATCCCATACATCAAACATTGTCTGCTGAATCAGAGAGTTCAGTAGCCATAACTGAATGCGAGTCAACCCCTAGCGATATCCCATCCTCGGTAGCAGGGTCCTCCTCGTGATCGCATCAAGTAGTCTAGCAGTAGGAGTGAGATCCCTAGGTGTCATGCTCGACCCCTCGCCAAAAGGCTCTATGAAGAAGGGTCGGACCAAATCAGTAGGAGGCACAAGACCGCCATGAGGGCATCTAGGAGGCTCTGTATGACCATAGCAAACCTCATGTAGCCGGATGGGTGACTCCTGAAGCATGGGTATCTCTCTGACCCTGAAACTCATCAGTCTGTAATCACGGCCTCGGAATGCAAAGTGTATGAACCTGTGGCCCGGGTCAATCCAAAGTGTAGCGTAGAACTCATGGACCCAAGATGGAACATATATGTCTATCCACCCAAGTAAGTCTATCAGCCCTGGCAAGTAAGAGAGGTAAGAGCGGATCTGCTCTCCAGCTGCTTCTACAATGGCCTCAATAGAGCATACTCTCTGAGATCTGAAAGCCACACCACTGTTCAAATAAGCATTATAGAAATCCTCCTATAGTGGTGTATAGAAACCCTCTGAAGCACGCTCATCCCTCCTCGGTGAGAACCAGTCCTCGAACTGAACAAACTTGAGCTGCTGCACCTGCTTGGCCGTAGCAGCCCTCAAATCTAGATGAGTCACTGAAGGCGGACCCTATGGTCTAGGAGGTGGACGAGAACCCCTCCTCTATGTCTCTGGCCTCGGTGTCACCTGAGTACGGGTATGACTAGAGCAGCGTAACTACGGCTGAGATGCCTGCTCTATCTCCTCTGTCTGCTCAGTCTGCTCTGTCTGCTGCTGTGGCTCCCCCTGAGGCTGAGTCTCCTCCAAAACAACATGTCATCCCTCAAGCATGACAATCCTAGTTGGACTACCATGATGGTGCTCAACCTACTCAACGGCTACCCTCTGTGCTAGAGAAAGCTGATCTACAATTACAACACCACTCCGAGCACATCCTCTCTCTACATGCTCTGCGGTGGCTGCAACTGCTGCTGCTCTCTCTGTATCAGCATCTAGATACTTGCGCTTCTTCGTCGCTAGCTTCTTTGCCTTGCCTTTTACCTCAGTAGACAAGCGAGGTGAAGGCCTCAGA